GGTGGTGGTGGTGGTGGTGGTCGTATTTCCATCGTGATCCTGTCAACAGCTGTGTTTTCACTTATTCTAAACTTGTGTCTATCTGGCCAAGCATGCCTTCGCGATGTCACGTTGATGTTCGCCGCCTTGCAAGGCTTCCTGGCCAAGGCAAAGCATAACAGCCCAGCCTCACGCCCCAAGAAAGTTCCCGCGGAACCGTGGGCACGGCAAGCTATCCTGTAGGATGCTTTGGAGATCTTAGTGCTTTGGTTGGGAAGTGACATGTACGGGTTCAGGGCTTGGGATGCCCAACAGCCAGAGCAAGCTGGCCACTGAGGGCCCCATGGGCCCTGAAGCCTCGATAAAGTATATGCTTAGTGTGCCTTGAAAGTCGTCATCTGCCTGGAAGCCTGGCTGATATGTTTGCACCCAATCCGTACTTCGATGAAGACCTGTGCGCAGGCTCTGGGTTTAAACTTAGTGGCTTTGGGGAGTCTTAAACCGCCAAGGTTCGTGCTGAGCCATCCGGTTCCCTGGGACCCACTACGGTACATGTTCGAGCAGAACAGCGACCTGGCCTACTGGCAGACTCACTATGCTGCATCCTCAGGCGCCGGTTTTCTCCCGGCCATGGATAAGACTTCATAGGACGGCGCCCTTAGGGTTTAGGGTTTAGGGTGCCCAAAACGCGAAATACATCACGGACTGCTTCCTATCCGAGCCTGAAGCTCGGTGTAGTGGCTTCCCCTTTCTGCGCTTCGGTGCTGCGATTCCGGCCCCCCGTCCTCCAGCATACGGTTTAGGGTTTAGGGTTTACGCCGGGTTACACCAGCGATGGGAAGGAGCCATCTTGTACTAAAGCCTGACGGTCTGCAGCGGAGAAAGCAAGGTTTGAGAAGGATGCCGGTTACCCCATTGAGCTCAGCAGTGACCCTTCAACCTAAGGCACAGAGCAATGTTGCAGAGAGCCAGGAAGGGTTACCACAGCACACTTCTTGCGAGTGCTGGCAGTATGGTCATAAGCATATTGATATGCGGATGGACGCAGCTTTACCAACATCAGTACTGTTGCTCGTCGTCGCCAGTGTTGCTGCAGTTGCTAGTATGATTTTGAAAATGCTCTGTCCCCTTGGCTGAGGAGCGGACCTGGAATCGCACGGTATACCTCACAGAGGCGCGAAGGATGCAATCCCTAATGTAGGTTATGACTATAGTTACCCTACCTTTAACCCTACTTATAACTACCGATAGCCCCAAAAGTCCAAGAGCGTTAAACTTATAGTACCCCAAAATAGTAGGATCC